AGGGTGTTCTGTGTACCACACATAATGTATCACCACTAGAGGGTGCTCTAGATCTTTGTACCACACACAATGTATCACCGCTAGAGAGTGTTCTGTGTACCACACATAATGTACCACCACTAGAGGGTGTTCTGTATACCACACACAATGTATCACCACTAGAGGGTGTTCTGTGTACCACACACAATACACCACATCTGGTAGAGATATGTTGGCTTTTGTTGCAGTTAACCTTTATGACAAGGTATATATACATTTGATACAACATGTGTGGTTGCTGCTGATTCAGGCATATCCTACCCGAGTGTGTACCAGAGCCTGAACACGAGGAGGATTACGTCCACACATTAAAGGATGAGAAACCCATATTTATATACCTTCATGGAACTGCTGCTACCAGGTAAGTTAAAACTGCTAGATATGTTTCCTATCTCTTTTTTATTGAGGAAATAAGTTTTGATAGCCCCTGCTCAAGTCTATTGGGTAGCCTTTAAACCTGTAGCTGACAAGTCAACTCTCTGATAGCCTCTGACAGCCTATATCGGAAATCATCTGTCTGACAGTTTTTTTCTCACTGAGAGCCTCAATTTGTCTGATAGTTTTTCTCACAGAGATTTTTTATCTGACTGATAGTTTTTCTCACAGAGATCTTTTATCTGACTGATAGTTTTTCTCACAGAGAGCCTCTATCTGACTGATAGTTTTTTCAGAGCCTCTATCTGACTGATAGTTTTTTCTCTCACAGAGAGCCTCTATCTGACTGGTAGTTTTTTCTCTCATTTTTGGTGTAATAGAAAAAGAACACGGAGACGAGATTAATTTTGTATTGCTCATTATGAGATACTATATATATTCATGTAAGTTAAAAAACACAGCTCCTACCATTCTGGAAGGGAAAACATACCTTAAGTTTTATAATAAAATAGAAGATATGGGTCTGTATGCCCATCACAACAAAAACCAAGAAAAAATCAAATGCAAATGGATTTTTATCAATCATTTACTTACTTAACTGAGCTGACATTGTTAATATATTTTGGGTAAAGTCTTTAGAGCCATATATTCCTGTCGGATAACTTCACGTCTAAATTCATTCAAAATAGCAATGATCTGCCTTTCTTACAGATGTCATGGTACTCTGTACTTGTCTTTAAAAAACGTGAAATATCCGATGGAAATATAATCTAAATTAATATAAACTGTGTACATGCATGAGTAAACAGGTAGACTCATATATATATACCGATTCTGATTGATATATAGTTACAGAACGAAAATAGTTATATGAAAAAATTGTAATGTGCATGTAATTGATAGTTTTTTCAGAGCCTCTATCTGACTGATAGTTTTTTCTCACAGAGAGCCTATATCTGACTGAGTTTTTCTCACAGAGAGCCTCTATATGACTGATAGATTTTCTCACAGAGAGCCTCTATCTGACTGATGGTTTTTGCCTCTATCTGACTGATAGTTTTTCTCACAGAGATCCTTTATCTGTCTGATAGATTTTTCTCACAGAGAGCCTCTATCTGACCGATGGTTTTTGCTTCTATCTGACTGAGTTTTTCTCACAGAGAGCCTCTATCTGACTGATAGTTTTTCTCACAGAGATCCTTTATCTGTCTGATAGATTTTTCTTACAGAGAGCCTCTATCTGACTGATGGTTTTTGCCTCTATCTGACTGATAGTTTTTTCTCACAGAGAGCCTCTATCTGACTGATAGTTTTTTCTCATAGAGAGCCTCTATCTGACCGATAGTTTTTTCTCACAGAGAGCCTCTATCTGACTGATACTGAAAGTGATAGCTTTTCTGTTAGAAAGCCTCTATCTAAGTCGTTTTCTTACAGTCTGACTCAGATAATTAGCCTCTGATGGATAACCTCATGCACCCAGTCTAACAACCCCTTCTGTAGATACCTTCTGTCATATAATTTGATTTGCAGCCATTTATCAGTTTGATTATAAATTTCTGGTGCAAATCACAGCAATATTCAGGATATGATCAAATATTGTCTTTAATTCTGATATTTCAGGGCTCACACACCTAGAATGAACATGTTAAAGCGTCTGTCAGCCATGGACAACCATGTCTTCTCCATAGACTACAGAGGTGAGTCAGCTAGTGTCTACGTGTTACAGTTCCTATAAGTCAGCTAGTGTCTACATGTTACAGTTCCTATACGTCAGCTAGTGTCTTCATGTTACAGTTCCTATAAGTCAGGTAGTGTTTACATGTTAAAATTCCTATAAGTCAGCTAGTGTCTACATGTTACAGTTCCTATAATTCAGCTAGTGTCTTCATGTTACAGTTCCTATACGTCAGCTAGTGTCTACATGTTACAGTTTCTATAAGTCAGGTAGTGTCTACATGTTACAGTACAGTCCTATAAGTCAGCTAGTGTCTACATGTTGCAGTTCCTATACGTCAGCTAGTGTCTACATGTTACTGTTCCTATAAGTCAGCTAGTGTCTACATGTTACAGTTCCTATACGTCAGCTATTGTCTACATGTTACAGTTTCTATAAGTCAGCTCGTGTTTCCATGTTACAGTTTCTATAAGTCAGCTAGTGTCTACATGTTACAGTTCCTATAATTCAGCTAGTGTCTACATGTTGCAGTTACTATAAGTCAGCTAGTGTCTACATGTTACTAGTGTCTACATGTTACAGTTCCTATAATTCAGCTAGTGTCTTCATGTTACAGTTCCTATAAGTCAGGTAGTGTCTACATGTTACAGTTACTATAAGTCAGCTAGTGTCTACATGTTGCAGTTACTATACTTCAGCTAGTGTCTACATGTTACAGTTCCTATAATTCAGCTAGTGTCTACATGTTGCAGTTACTATAAGTCAGCTAGTGTCTACATGTTACAGTTCCTATAAGTCAGCTAGTGTCTACATTTTACAGTTCCTATAAGTCAGCTAGTGTTTACATGTTACAGTTCCTATAAGTGAGCTATTGTCTACATGTTACAGTACAGTCCTATAAGTCAGCTAGTGTCTACATGTTGCAGTTACTATAATTCAGCTAGTGTCTACATGTTACAGTTCCTATACGTCAGCTATTGTCTACATGTTACAGTTGCTATAAGTCAGCTAGTGTCTACATGTTACTGTTCCTATAAGTCAGCTAGTGTCTACATGTTACTGTTCCTATAAGTCAGCTAGTGTCTACATGTTACTAGTGTCTACATGTTACAGTTCCTATAAGTCAGCTAGCGTCTACATGTTACAGTTCCTATAAGTCAGCTATTGTCTACATGTTACAGTACAGTCCTATAAGTCAGCTAGTGTCTACATGTTACAGTTTCTATAAGTCAGCTAGTGTCTACATGTTACAGTTCCTATAAGTCAGGTAGTGTCTACATGTTACAGTTCCTATAGGTCTGCTAGTGTCTACATGTTACAGTTCCTATAATTCAGCTAGTGTCTACATGTTACAGTTCCTATAAGTCAGCTAGTGTCTACATGTTACAGTTCCTATAAGTCAGCTAGTGTCTACATGTTACTGTTCCTATAAGTCAGCTAGTGTCTACATGTTACAGTTTCTATAATTCATGATCAGCTAGTGTCTACATGTTACAGTTCCTATAAGTCAGCTAGTGTCTATGTGTTACAGTTCCTATAAGTCAGCTAGTGTTTATGTGTTACAGTTCCTATAAGTCAGCTAGTGTCGACATGTTACTGTTCCTATAAGTCAGCTAGTGTCTACATGTTACAGTCCTATAAGTCAGCTAGTGTTTACATGTTACAGTTCCTATAAGTCAGCTAGTGTCTACATGTTACTGTTCCTATACGTCAGCTAGTGTCTACATGTTACAGTTTCTATACGTCAGGTAGTGTCTACATGTTACAGTTCCTATAAGTTAGCTAGTGTCTGCATGTTACAGTCCTATAAGTCAGCTAGTGTCTACATGTTATAGTTCCTATACGTCAGCTAGTGGCTACATGTTACAGTTTCGATACGTCAGGTAGTGTCTACAGGTTACAGTTTCTATAAGTGAGCTATTGTCTACATGTTACATTACAGTTCCTATAAATCTGCTAGTGTCTCCATGTTACAGTTCCTAGAAGTCAGCTTGTGTCTACATGTTACTGTTTCTATAAGTCAGCTAGTGTTTACATGTTAAAGTTCCTATAATTCAGCTAATGTCTACAGGTTACAGTTTCTATACGTCAGCTTGTGTCTACATGTTACATTACAGTTCCTATAAGTCTGCTTGTGTCTACATGTTACAATTTCTATAAGTCAGCTAGTTTCTACATGTTACAGTCCTATAAGTTAGCTAGTGTCTGCATGTTACAGTTCATATAAGTCAGCTAATGTCTACATGTTACATTACAGTTCCTATAAGTTAGCTAGTGTCTGCATGTTACAGTCCTATAAGTTAGCTAGTGTCTGCATGTTACAGTTCATATAAGTCAGCTAATGTCTACAGGTTACATTCCCTATAAGTAAGCTAGTGTCTACATTTTACAGTTCCTATTAGTCAGCTAGTGTATGTGTTATAGTTCCATTTAGTCAGTCAGTGTCTACCTGTTAATGTTCCTATACGTCAGCTAGTGTCTGCATGTTACAGTCCTATAAGTTAGCTAGTGTCTGCATGTTACAGTCCTATAAGTCAGCTAATGTCTACATGTTAAAGTTCCTATAATTCAGCTAATGTCTACATGTTAAAGTTCCTATAATTCAGCTAATGTCTACAGGTTACAGTTTCTATACGTCAGGCAGTGTCTACATGTTACTGTTTCTATAAGTCAGATAGTGTCTACATGTTTCAATTTATATAAGTCAGCTAGTTTCTACATGTTACAGTACCTATAAGTCAGGTAGTGTTTACATGTTACAGTTTCTCTACGTCAGGTAGTGTCTACAGGTTACAGTTTCTATAAGTAAGCTAGTGTCTACATTTTACAGTTCCTATTAGTCAGCTAGTGTATGTGTTATAGTTCCATTAAGTTAGTCAGTGTCTACCTGTTACAGTTTTTAGCTGTCAGCATATACAGCTTGCGTTAATATGTTTTGATTACTGTGAATAACGTTGGACAATATATTCTCCATAGTTTTATAGAGATAAGTCAGCTAGTGTTTACATGTTACAGTTCCTGTAAGTCAGCTAGTGTCTACATGTTACAGTTCCTATTAGTCAGCTAGTGTATGTGTTATAGTTCCATTAAGTTAGTCAGTGTCTACCTGTTACAGTTTTTAGCGGTCAGCATATACAGCTTGCGTTAATATGTTTTGATTCCTGTGAATAACGTTGGCAATATATTCTCCATAGTTTTCTAGAGATAAGTCAGCTAGTGTGCATTTAGATTTATTTAAATGAAATGTTTTGTTGTTGTGTTGTAGGGTTTGCTGACTCCTCGGGAATCCCCACAGAGGAGGGTGTAGTCGAAGATGCCCTTTGTATGTACAAATGGGTGAAGGCACGGTGTGGTAACTCTCCAATTATTATCTGGGGCCACTCCTTAGGATCAGGGTAGGTATCATCTGGGAAGACTCCCACGGGACTTGGTAGGTAACATCGGGGGGCCACTCCTTAGGATTTAGGTAGGTAAATATCTGGGAACACTCCTTAGGATCAGGGTAGGTAACATCTGGGAACATTCCCTAGGGACTGGGTAGGTAACATCTGGGAACACTCCCCAGGGACTGGGTAGGTAACATCTGTGAACACTCCCCAGGGACTGGGTAGGTAACATCTTGGAACACTACCTAGGGACTGGGTAGGTAACATTTGGAACATTCCCTAGGGACTGGATAGGTAACATCTGGGAACACTCCCCAGGGACTGGGTAGGTAACATCTTGGAACACTACCTAGGGACTGGGTAGGTAACATCTGGAACATTCCTTAGGAATTTGGAAGGTTTATATCTGCGAACACTCCCCAGGGATTGGGTAGGTAACATCTGGGAACACTCCCTAGGGACTGGGTAGGTAACATCTGGGAACACTCCCTAGGGACTTGGTAGGTAACATCTGGGAACACTCCCCAGGGATTGGGTAGGTAACATCTGGGAACACTCCCCAGGGATTGGGTAGGTAACATCTGGAAACACTCCCTAGGGACCGGGTAGGTAACATCTGGGAACACTCCTCAGTGATTGGGTAGGTAACATCTGGGAACACTCCTCATGATTGGGTAGGTAACATCTGGAAACACACCCTAGGGACTGGGTAGGTAACATATGGGAACACTCCCTAGGGATTGGGTAGGTAACATCCGGGAACACTCCTTAGGGACTGGGTAGGTAACATCTGGGAACACTCCCTAGGGACCGGGTAGGTAACATCTGGGAACACTCCTCAGTGATTGGGTAGGTAACATCTGGGAACACTCCTCATGATTGGGTAGGTAACATCTGGAAACACACCCTAGGGACTGGGTAGGTAACATCTGGGAACACTCCCTAGGGATTCGGTAGGTAACATCCGGGAACACTCCTTAGGGACTGGGTAGATAACATCCATGGAATAAGTGTCTTAATATGTTTTCACATAGTTTTCATGTTTCCCGATGCAGTATTAACCTGTTGAATATAAATTTCTTGTGCTGATATTCCTTAATTGATTTATGATGTATGATATATTTTACAGAGTGGCTACGTTGTTGGTGAGACAGTTGTGTGATACAAGTAAGTCAATGTTTTGAAACCATTAATTGGTACCTGATCTATAAACTGTTGTTTGATGGGCTATGGATTCTGCTTGGGACATACCAAAGTCCTTAAAAAAATTGTACTTGTTATTCCCTGCTTAATATTAAAAATGTAGGGTGATTATAACAATTGATTAACTTGTCAATACAAAGTGACCTGGTGGAGAATTGTGCTTACTGCCTTAAGCATGGTATTTCATTAAGGTAGGATTCTAATTTGGCACCAGATCCAACCTATCACAAGGAGGCAAATACACCAACATAAAACCTCCAGAATGCATTACACAAAAAATAACCTTAGCTGTTTATAGGTTGCTACTCAATGAAACCAAACCAAATCCTTCTTCTCTTTACAGGTCAGAAGTTGGCTGGACTTGTGCTTGAATCACCCTTCAACAATCTACGAGAGGCAGCTTGTAAACACCCGCTATCAAAGGTGAGTACAGACCACTGACTGTCACTGATGAAAAATGGGAAGCGGGTGGGGGGATGGGGGATGGGGGTGGGGTGGGGTGATGGGGTGATAGAGTTACCCATTGGTCCTTTACTTCCATTTTTTACAACACACTTGACACATCAAGGTCAGTCACTGTAAATAGAAAGTTGCTATCCTTGTTAAGGTCCTGCCACCCAACTTTGTGGGTTAAATTGGTTAGCAAGTCTCATGAACATTTTAAGCTCGCCTATTTGAAGAATAGAAGGGCTGATGTTGTCACCCCAGTTTTTGGGCAAGTTTTTTCCCAGACAGTGTTGGATCATAAAACTCCATACACTGTTGTCTATAATAAGGTTGAGGCATTCTTATGGAGTGTAAGCAATGTGCTGAACCATATTTTTCAAATTTTAGGGGCCAAAAACAGCTTAATTGCAACTGGTTAAAGTTTTTGGGCAAGTTTTTTTGTGCAGTGTTGGATCAACACCATCAATAGGCTGTTGTCTATTATTAGGTTGAGGCATTTATATGGAGTGTATTAGCAACGTGCTGAAACACATTTACATATATAGGGGCAAAAAACAGCTTCATTAATCTTAATTTTTTGGGCAAGTATATTTGTGCAGTGTTAGATCATCTACATCAATACCCTGTTGACTATTTCACATTGTCTGGACATCTCTTCTAATAACATTTATTATCAATGGGCCAGATATGCCGTTCTCCAAAAGCTTTTATCTATTTTTAAAATACATACATATGCAGTCACCAAGACCTGGGTCTGCATTCATGAAACCATTCTCATGTTCAACCTTTGGTTCTGGTCAAAGCTTTGTGTTTAGCAACTTAAAAACAACACATATAAACACTTATTGGTTGTGCTACATGAATCTTTTCACAATACAGGGCTCTGTCATTTCGCAGGAATTTGTTTGGATGACTCTGTAATGCACACAACACAACAATCACTTATTAGCATACTACATTCCGAATGGATAATTTATTTTTGTCAGGAAATCTTTGTCTTCCCCAAATCATTGTTACACTTGTATGTCTACGTCTTGATGACAGCGACTAATTGTGTCATATTAGTGGTCGATTTCCATCTACACCTTGTATGTGATCAGGTCTACAGTAAGAGAAAGAATACATCTTGGATTTCATTGATATTTTCTATTTCAGCCGTTTAGATTCTTACCCTGGTTTGAAAGAGCCTTCCTCGATACTGCTGCTCAAGTCAACATAAATTTTGAGAGTGACAAGCAGTAAGTACTGTATAGATATTTAGTTTACATAACATCACAGTCATTAGTAGTTTAATATAAACCAGTGGCTTTCTTGTTAATGGCTGTCATTCCCAGCTGTTTCTGGTAAAGCTGTGGTTTAGCTTACAGTGTATATTATAAGAGGATGACAAATATTTTCAGTAAACTCACTTTATATAAGTTGAGTACATCACATAAACATTAGACTCCTGCAGATTGACATCTGTCAGAGTGTAAACAAGTGAAAATATCAATTACTGCAGTAAAATCAAGATGATCCAAGGAAAGTAACACATCGTTTTTCCTTTATAGAAGTTAAACATGGATAATCCTCCAAGGGGAAGGTTGTGTGTGTCAGCATTAAGTATTTAATATATGTAACAGTATAGTAGACCTGACAGTGCTAATGTTTTGTTACAGTATAACACATGTCACAACACCAATCATGATTGTACATTCCAAAGATGACAATGATGTACCCATTGATCTAGGAAGGAAGGTATGTACATTATAAGGTCTTAAACCCTTTTGTCTGATCCTGTTGTACATCCCTGGTTTCTTATATTTTATGTTGACAG